ACTCCTCTGCTCGATTATGCCCTGGAAGTGGAGAAGATTACCACCTCGAAGGTAGCAAAGAAAAAACTTCCCTAATTCTCTAATCTTATGTTAGGTAAATTTATTGGAGGAAATAGCCAGGTTACAATTTGATTATTCAGCTAAAAGCAAACCCAGTTTTCTGGAAATGTTACTTTTCTTTCATAACTAACTTCAGCAGACATGCACTAAATGTCAGCTAGGTGTTGGGTACTTTGCTAGATGCTGGGAATTGAACTGAGTCAGACACAGCGTCAGCCAGGAGGGACGGTGGAAGGTTTTTTAAACGATGGTCGCAATTCGTGGTAATAGTAGTAACAGTGGAAAATTACAAAGAAAAAATGAGAAATAATGATAAATGCTTTGAATTTTTTGCCTTCCCAGAAGCCAAATCTGATCCTGAATGTAGATGGTCTCATTGGAGTTGCGTTTGTAGACATGCTTAGAAACTGTGGGTCCTTTACTCGGTGAGCGTTGCAGCTGTTTTCTTCTTCATTACGTTTGTTGATTTTTGGTGTTTCCTCCAAACTATAAAAGCAATGCATACTCAGAATATTTAGAAAATAAAGAGAGGTATAAAGAAGGAAATAAAAATGGCCTGTAATCCTACCACCCAGAGCATCCCTCTTTTCTACTTTGAAACCAAAGAGAGCTTTTTTTCTCATTCCTGGGCAGTAGTAGTACTGTCTGTGGGGAGGAGGGCAGTCATGTGAGCCTTTTAAAACTACAAGTTGATTGTGTGTTGCAGGGAGGAAGCTGATGAATATATTGACATTGGAGCTCTCAATGGCATCTTTGTGCTGGGAAGGAGTATGGGCTTCATTGGTGAGTCTTTTTGTTGTTGTTTTTTTATTTTTATTTTTTACTCCCAAATGCTTGGAAAGAGTGTTTAGTCTGATTTCATTGTATTGCTGTGGAGGCATCTGGCCACAATGCTCTTTCACATACCTGGCCCCAGGAAAGTCACAGAAGAATTTCGCAAAACTGTGAGGGTCATTCAAGGGTATGCTGAGGTGAAGGTGCATAGTAGATACCTGACAGCAACCAGCATACCCCTGGGACTGAGCCTTACGGCAGACACACCTGACAGCAATAATTTAAGTGAGATTCGTTGTTGTTTAAAGTGTTTTGTTTTTGTTTTTTAAACCCCCACGGTTCAGCTGTACCACTTACACATGTGGTTGAGTTTATTTTTCTTTTTTAATTCTCTTTTTGTGGTTGAGTTTCTACAAAAGAAATGTCATATCCTCTTAATCATTGTTCTTTTTTTTTTTTTTTTTTTTTTTTTTTTGAGACGGAATTTCGCTCTTGTTACCCAGGCTGGAGTGCAATGGCGCAATCTCGGCTCACCGCAACCTCCGCCTCCTGGGCTCAGGCAATTCTCCTGCCTCAGCCTCCTAAGTAGCTGGGATTACAGGCACGCGCCACCACGCCCAGCTAGTTTTTTGTATTTTTAGTAGAGACGGGGTTTCACCATGTTGACCAAGATGGTCTCGATCTCTCGACCTTGTGATCCACCCACCTCGGCCTCCCAAAGTGCTGGGATTACAGGCTTGAGCCACCGCTCCTGGCTAATCATTGTTCTTAATCTTTTCTTAAACTTTCCCCTTATCTTTGTTCCTTTGTTCTTTTTTTTTTTTCTTTTTTTTTTTTTTTTTTGAGACAGAGTGTTGCTCTTGTTACCCAGGCTGGATGGAGTGCAATGGCACGATCTCGGCTCACCACAACCTCCGCCTCCTGGGTTCAAGCAATTCTCCTGCCTCAGCCTCCTGAGTAGCTGGGACTACAGGCACGTGCCACCATGCCCAGCTAATTTTTTGTATTTTTAGTAGAGACGGGGTTTCACCACGTTGACCAGGATGGTCTCGATCTCTCGACCTCGTGATCCACCCCCGCCTCGGCCTCCCAAAGTGCTGGGATTACAGGCTTGAGCCACCGCGCCCGGCTTTTTTTTTTTTTTTTTTTTTTTTGAGACGGAGTTTCGCTCTTGTTACCCAGGCTGGAGTGCAATGGCGCGATCTCGGCTCACCGCAACCTCCGCCTCCTGGGTTCAGGCAATTCTCCTGCCTCAGCCTCCTGAGTAGCTGGGATTATAGGCACGCGCCACCATGCCCAGCTAATTTTTTGTATTTTTTTAGTAGAGACGGGGTTTCACCATGTTGACCAGGTTGGTCTCGATCTCTTGACCTTGTGATCCACCCACCTCGGCCTCCCAAAGTGCTGGGATTACAGGCTTGAGCCACCGCGCCCGGCCTTTTTTTTTTTTTTTTTGAGACACAATTTTCTTTTTTCTTTTTTCTTTTTTTTTTTTTTTGAGACAGAGTTTCGCTCTTGTTACCCAGGCTGGAGTGCAATGGCGCGATCTCGGCTCACCGCAACCTCCGCCTCCTGGGTTCAAGCAATTCTCCTGCCTCAGCCTCCCGAGTAGCTGGGACTACAGGTGTGTGCCATCATGCCCAGCTAATTTTTGTATTTTTAGTAGAGACAGGGTTTCACCATGTTGACCAGGATGGTCTTGATCTCTTGACCTCGTGATCCACCCGCCTCGGCCTCCCAAAGTGCTGGGATTACAGGCGTAAGCCACTGCGCCTGGTGAGACACAATTTTCATTCTTGTTGCCCAGGCTGGAGTGCAATGGCACGATCTTGGCTCATCACAACCTCTGCCTCCTGAGTTCAAGCAGTACTCCTGCTTCAGCCTCCTGAATAGCTGGGATTACAGGCATGTGCCACCACGCCCAGCTAATTTTGTATTTTTAGTAGAGACTGGATTTCTCCATGTTGGTAGTCTCGAACTCCCAACCTCAGGTGCTCTGCCCGCCTCAGCCTCCCAAAGAGCTGGGATTACAATCGTGAGCCACCACACCTGTTCCTTTGTTCTTAGACATTATTGCTAGCCCAGGAAAATACAATTTTTTATTTTTATTGTTTATTTTCCTTTAAAACTTTGTTTATAGAATCAGATCCAACAGTTCCCTTGTACAAAGTCTACCTATGGAATGGATATGGACTAAACTTCCCACTGCTTTGTATTCACTTTTTTTGTGTGTTGAAACGATTTCCCTTCCTTACCTTCTCGCTCTCACCAGGCTTATGAAGCTCTAATAAAAAAGATGTGTTTGCTTCATTTTAGGACACTATCTTGATCAGAAGAGGCTGAAGCAGGGGCTGTATCGTCATCCGTGGGATGATATTTCATATGTTCTTCCGGAACACATGAGCATGTAACAGAGCCAGGAACCCTACAGCAGTAAATTGAAGACAAGAACCCCTCCCCCAGGAAAAAGTGTACAGACAGCTAGCTGGCAGTGGAGACTGCTTCACAGGGGTCTGGAATGTCAACAGCCACCGGGGTAGAGCGCTGAAGACCAACGCCCACAGGCTAACACCCGTTCAGTCCACACAAAGAAGCTTCATATTTTTTTTTTAAAACCAAGCCAACACTTGTGACTTTGTTCTGCTACCTGCTGTATTTACTATATGGAAGCATCTAAGTACTGTCAGGATGGGGTTCTTCCTCATTGTAGGGCGCTAGGATGTTGCTTTCTTTTTCCATTGGTTAAACATTTTTTTCTCCCCTGGAGGAAGGGAATTAAACATTTAAGACGTCAAGATACTATACATTTAAAGCACCCTAATGTCTCTTTTTTTTTTTTTTTTTTTACTTCTCTTTCTTCTTCACTTAACATGAAGAACATTGTATTAATTTGATTTTTAAAGATCTTTTTGTATGTTCTGTGTTAAGAGCTTGTTTGGTATCCCACTGAAATGTTCTGTGTTACAGACCAGAGTCTGCATATGTCAGGGGGATGGGGCCATTGCATCCTTAGCCATTGTCACAAAATACGTGGAGTAGTAACTTAATATGTAAAGTTGTAACATACATTTAAAATGGAAACGCAAAAAGCTGTGAAATGTCTTGTGTCTTATGTTCTCGGTATTTATGCAGCTGACTTGTCTGTCTGTAACTGAAGTGTGGGTCCAAGGACTCCTAGCTACTTTGCATATGTATTCCACAAAGATTCTGGGCAGCTGCCACCTCAGTCTCTTCTCTGTATTATCATAGTTTGGTTTAAATAAACTATATAGTTACAATGATGGCATACTGCTGTCTCCTGGCATCCACATCCTTTGATCTGTATTTTGAGACAGCATCTCACTTTGTTGCCCAGGCTGGAGTGCAGTGGCGTGATCTTGGCTCACTGCAACCTCCGCCTCCTGGGTTCAAGCGATTCTCCCTGCCTAAGCCTCCCGAGTAGCTTGGATTACAGGCACCCACCACCACGCCCCACTCATTTTTGTATTTTTTGTAGAGATGGGGTTTCACCATTTTGGCCAGGCTTGTCTTGAACTCCTGACTTCAAGTGATCCGCCTGCCTTGGCCTCCCAAAGCACGGGGATTACAGGTGCCCGCCACAGCGCCCAGCTAATTTTTGTATTTTTATTAGAGACCGAATTTCGTATGTTGTCCAGGCTGGTCTGGAACTCCTGACCTCAAGTGATCCGTCTACCTCGGCCTCGCAAAGTGCTGGGATTACAGGCGTGAGCCACCCAGCCTGGCCCAAAGTGGCTTTTAAATTAATTTTTTAAACAAGGATATACGATCATTGACTATGAACCACAAAGCACTATGCAGAACGCTTGGCTTAAGTATCTCATTGAATCCTCTCCGTGAGCTTACAAAGTAGGCAATATCCCCATGTTTAGAAGATAAATTGGGGGTAACGGGTAACTCACCCCTCATCCACTTAGCTAGGACTCAATCTTATAAAAATCCTGTATTGTCACTTAAGGCTTTAACAACGGGTGATGATCGAAGGTGGCTTTTACTAGACAAAATGACTGCAGAGAGCATGCTACCCCCTAAGGAAAGCGAGCGAGCCATCCTCACACCGATGTCCTGGTAAGAGGCCTGGGGCGAAGTCTTCCCGACTAGGCGACGATTATAGCCGAACCTCATCAAGGTTCGGGGCTGGGAGGCGAGGTGGCGCATGCGCAGTCGGCGGGCGACACGGCTCCGCCCCGCGCGCACTATTTAATCCCAGAATCCCTCTGTGTCGCACCAAACGGCCGCATCGTTCCAAGGCTGCGGAGGCCGGGCGCGGTAGCGTCAAGATGGCGGCTGCGGCAGTGGCGGCAGCGGCGGCGGCGGCCGCGGCTGCATCTCTTCAGGTGCTGGAGATGGAAAGCATGGAGACAGCCGCCGCCGGCTCTGCAGGACTGGCTGCGGAAGTCCGAGGCAGCGGCACGGTGGACTTCGGGCCTGGGCCGGGGATCTCTGCCATGGAGGCGAGCGGGGGCGATCCGGGCCCAGAAGCCGAGGATTTCGAGTGTAGCTCTCACTGCTCAGAGCTGTCCTGGCGGCAGAACGAGCAGCGGCGCCAGGGCCTCTTCTGCGACATTACCCTGTGCTTCGGCGGGGCTGGAGGCCGCGAGTTCCGGGCCCACCGCTCGGTACTGGCCGCCGCCACCGAATATTTCACGCCCCTGCTGTCGGGCCAGTTCTCCGAGTCCCGCTCGGGACGGGTGGAGATGCGCAAGTGGAGCTCCGAGCCGGGGCCCGAACCTGACACAGTGGAAGCCGTTATCGAGTATATGTACACCGGGCGCATCCGCGTCAGCACAGGCAGCGTGCACGAGGTGCTGGAGTTGGCCGACAGGTAAGCGAGGGAGGCAGGAGCGCGGAGGGCGGCGGGCGCGGAGAGTGGGAGATGCTCGCCAGCGGACGGGCGGGCAGTGCCTGCCACGGCAGCCCGCGAGTCCTGAGTGGGCGCATTGGGTTCACACTTGCTGAGCGTCTGCTGGGGGGCAGCCACAGAGCTGGGCGAGGAGGATGCACCCGCAGGTCAGACGAGGGCGCCCCGCACCCAGGGAGCTCACATACTGACTGGGTGTTGGGACGAAGGTGATGAAAAGGAAAGTCAGTATGTGTTAAGTGTTGTGCGGACGTTCAAAAGGAGTGAAAAGATGCGGATTGAATAAAGACCGTTCTGAGGAGGTGACGTTTCGACCGACCTCTAAATGTCAAAAAAATAACTGACCATGCAAAGATGGGGAATGAACATTACAGACAGCGCAAAGGCCCTCGGGCAGGATCCAGTTTAGCTTAGAGAAAAGCCTTAAAATACAGTCCAGTGAGACTATCTAGTGGAGGAAAAGGAAAAGGATGCGTGAGATGCGTTGGAATAACGACTTTGGGTTTCACTGAGTGTGATAGGAAGCTGGGTAAAGAAATGATCTAAGTATTTAAATATTAGTCTGCCACTGTGGTAAATGGGTTGTAGGGAGCAAGAATGGATGCTCCAGGGACGGGTTAGAAGGCAGGTAATAGTGTGCCGGGCGCGGTGGCTCAAGCCTGTAATCCCCGCACTTTGGGAGGCCGAGGCGGGTGGATCACGAGGTCAAGAGATCAAGACCAACCTGGTCAACATGGTGAAACCCCGTCTCTACTAAAAATACAAAAAATTAGCTGGGCATGGTGGTGCATGCCTGTAATCCCAGCTACTCGGGAGGCTGAGGCAGGAGATTTGCCTGAACCCAGGAGGCGGAGGTTGCAGTGAGCCGAGATCGTGCCATTGCACTCCAGCCTGGGTAACAAGAGCGAAACTCCATCTCAAGGAAAAAAAAAAAAAAAAAAAGAAGGCAGGTAATACCATTTATAGAGATGGGGAGGCGTTTGTTTTGGCAATTATCATCTTACAGATTCGTTAACAAAAACGCATCCACTCAGATGCAGGATTCTGAGGTACTAGGGTTTCAGCAGTGATCAAAACAGACAAAAGTGCTTTTCCTTATCGCACTTACGTTGGTAGATGGACGGTAAATAAGTAAAATGTATAGCCTGTTATGATGGTTATCACTGATGAAAAATACAGCATGGGGGAAGTACATAGAAAGTGCTGGGGGAAAGGAAGTGTTTTTCAAATTGGGTGGGTAGAGACTGCCTCTGGAACAAGACGTTTTGCTTAGAACCGAAGGAGGGAGGTAAAGAGTGTGTCAGGTAGGGGACACAGGTACAGAGGCCCTGAGGAGGAGCTTGCTGTGTGTTAGAGAACAGCGGGAGCCAGTGTGGCTGTGTCAGAGGGATGCCTGGTGAGAGGAACAGGAGAAGCCCCAGGATGGTAATGGGTATGGATCCAGATCCCATAGGGCCTTGATGGCCTGTGGAAGGACATGAGCTTTTATTCTGATTGAAATGGGAAGGTTTGGGGCAGAGGAATGATGCAGCCTGATTTGAAGAATAGTGCTGTGTTGAAAAAGGATGTGGCGGCCAGGCACGGTAGCTCACGCCTGTAATCTCAGCCCTTTGGGAGGCCATGGTGGGTGGATGCTTGAGGTCAGGAGTTTGAGACCAGCCTGGGCAACATGGTGAAACACCGTCTCTACTGAAAAATACAAAAATTAGGCGTGGTGGCCTGCCTGTAATCCCAGCTGTTGGGGAGGCTGAGGCACGAGAATCGCTTGAGCCTGGGAGGCAGGAGGTTGCAGTAAGCCGAGATTGCACCACTGCACTCCAGCCTGGCCAGCAGAGTGAGACTCTTGTCTCAAAAAAAAAAACAACAACAACAAAAAACAATGATATGGGGCCGGGCGCGGTGGCTCAAACCTGTAATCCCAGCACTTTGGGAGGCCGAGGCGGGTGGATCACGAGGTCGAGAGATCGAGACCAACCTGGTCAACATGGTGAAACCCGGTCTCTACTAAAAATACAAAAAATTAGCTGGGCATGGTGGCGCGTGCCTGTAATCCCAGCTACTCAGGAGGCTGAGGCAGGAGAATTGCCTGAACCCAGGAGGCGGAGGTTGCGGTGAGCCGAGATCGCGCCATTGCACTCCAGCCTGGGTAACAAGAGCGAAACTCCGTCTCAAAAAAAAAAAAAAAAAAAAACAATGATATGGCATTGAGGAGGGGGCAACAAGGGCAAACACAGAGAGACTAGTGTAGGTGGTTGTGGCAGTGGTGGTGGAGGCTTGGATTAAGGAGGGAGAAGTAAAGGTGATGAGAAGTGCTCTGGTTCTAGATGTATTTTGAAGTTTGATGAGATGAATTTGCTGCTGGATTTGATGTGGGGTATAGGGGAAAAGACTGCTACCTGGGCCGGGCGCGGTGGCTCAAGCCTGTAATCCCAGCACTTTGGGAGGCCGAGGTGGGTGGATCACGAGGTCAAGAGATCGAGACCATCCTGGTCAACATGGTGAAACCCCGTCTCTGCTAAAAAAAAATACAAAAAATCAGCTGGGCATGGTGGTGCGTGCCTGTAATCCCAGCTACTCAGGAGGCTGAGGCAGGAGAATTGCCTGAACCCAGGAGGCGGAGGTTGCGGTGAGCCGAGATCGCGCCATTGCACTCCAGCCTGGGTAACAAGAGCGAAACTCCATCTCAAAGAAAAAAAAAAAAAAAAAAAAAAGACTGCTACCTTTTTGACCCAAGCAATTGGAAGGATGGAATTATTAAGATGTGAAAGATTGCAGTAGAGCAAATCTGGGAGGAAGATCGGGAGTTTGGATTTGGTTAAGGAGGTGCCTGGGGCAGTTGAATATAAGCACAGGGGAGCTAGAGATACAAACTGGGGAAATTAGCATATAAATGGTAACTAAAGCCCAGGGGCTGGATGGTATTACTTAGGGAGTGAACCCCGGGGTTCTCTAGAATGTGAAAGAGGAGCCGGCTGGGTGAGTTGGCTTATGCCTGTAATCCTAGCAGTTTGGGAGACTAGGAGTTCAAGACTACCTGGGCGACATGATGAAACTGTCTCTACTGAAAATACAAAAATTAGCAGGATGTGGTGGCAGGTGCCTGTAATCCCAACTACTCGGGAGGCTGAGGCAGACAGGAGAATTGCTTGAACCCAGGAGGTGGAGGTTGCAGTGAGCTGAGATTTTGCCACAGCACCCCAACCTGGGCAACAGAGTGAGAGTCGGTCTCAAAAAAAAAAAAAAAAAAAAGGAGACTGATCTCTTGGAAACGTAGAAAGGAAGGATGCCAAGGAGGGAGTAGCGAGTCATGTCAACTCTGTCAACCCATAAGTGATGGTTGCAGGTCATTATTGCCATTGACAAGAGCTAGTTAAGCCTTGCTTTATAAAGAGGACCAGAAAAATGGTACAAACGTGGAAATGTTTTTCGGGGGGGAGGCAATCCCACCGATGTAAGAGATACTAGAGCATGTTTGTTTGCTGCTGAAAACGATTCAGTAGATGAGGAGTAATTGATGTTACAGGAGCAGAAGAGTGATTGCAGGAGTAAAGTCCTTGCAGCCAAGAAGGGAACTGTAGGAGTAGAAGAAGGGTGATCCCTTTTCTCCTTATCATAGCTGACATTCTTAAAAGACAGGTTATAGGACAGAGAAAAGTGTAAGATTATTACAGGCAAATGTGTGCTCGAGAGTCAGACAAAATAAAACTCTTAAGAGCGGCTGACATTTTTAGAACATCCTGTGGTTACAGAAAGAATAGGGACTTCGAGTGCATCAAGACAGGTTATGGGAGAGCCAGGAGAGGAAGGCACGGCACCACAGGCTGTCATGTTAGGCAGCAGCTGTCACAAAGAATAGATGTATCCTGTCACAAAGAATAGATTTAAAGTGTCGGACCTTAGCCTCCTTAGTTTTTCCTGTGAGTGCATCTTTCCTAGATCTGGGGGGAGGGGGCTTCAGAGAAAGCCTGTTTACCTCACTAATGTGGATTTTCTCTAAAGATACAAATCTCCCCCACGAAAGACAGCTCTTCAAAGAGAGTCCTGTGCTTTCAGCCCCTCTGAATATGTCAAAGAAGTATATTTTTGTGTGAAATACTCTGTTTCAGTATAAAGTCTATATTAAAATTGGAAAGGTTGGACTGCGAAGGCAGAATATAGGGTACAGCTGCTGGCAGATGAAGTTCCTGCCTGATTGTTTTCTCAAGAGGCTGGGTCATCAATGAGAAGGTGGAGTGGGTTGAGCATAGCTCTGAGGGAGAGAGGGTTGTTGCTGAAAATGGGTGGAAAAGGGTCATTGCACTCACCCAAGCTGTGTTTGATTCTGTCATATGATCTTGAGTTTGAAAGATTTGCCCCTGCTCTACTGGGGAGTTAGAAGAGAGGATAGGATGCTCCAGGCATTTTACTCAAAACTTTTCTCTCAGCCTGTCAGAGGCTAAGCAGCTGGCTTTTGTCAGGCACTGTTTGACATGCCCTGCAGCCAGCCATCACATTTAATCTTCCCATCAGTTCTAAGGCAGGACCCTCCACTCCTACCCCTAAATGCATTCTGACTGTTGATGATCATGCCTGCCTCACTGGGCACTTGTAAGGATCAGAAATATACTAATAGAATATGCCTGATGCCCCTCACATGACAGATGCCTAGTATATGACAGCTATTTTCATAAAGCATTGCTTCCAGACACTTAAGGGAACATGTCTCTGAATTACCTGGAGTGTGTGCTGAAACTAGGAGCCCAGGACAGCCTGGGAATCAGGTGACACTGGCACCCAAACGTCTCTGGGAGCCGCTATATTCCTTACCATTCCACTTTGTCTTTGCTTTATCTCTAAAATGATATGTTCCCTTAAAAGGGTGAAGGGAGCCTGCCGTATTCATCTTCATATTATAGTTAAGATAGTTACTAAGCACAGTCACTAATAAATGGTTACTGAATTGGGAGAGGCCTGAACTGATGAAG